AATGACGATAATAATAATATAATATCTTGCCATCTGGTCATTATTGATCGTTTGAATATCAACTTGAACCCCACCGAACTTACTGTACAATTGTTTTTGTTTCATTTAACACAAAAAACAGGAAGTGTTGGATTTCGGACGTATTAAAATTGTTTCCGTTGTTACTGTTACAACGTGTTTTTATTTTAAAAATGTTAAAAGTTCAATAAAGGTTATTGATGGAGATAATATGTGAATACATTATATTTAAGTCAGGAATAACAGATGTTTTAAACGTTTCTTATTATCGTTAACTTTGAAAAACCAAACGATTCGTTCGAAATTACTATCATCTTTTACGCTGCCTTAAAGATGTTACCTTTCAAAAACTAAAATCTCCCGTTGTTTACTTACTATGTAACTCCGTCGTTCCGGTTAATCGTGTATAGAGTTATTTTTTCACTCTGACTTTAAACCTTTTTTCACAACCCTTTAGGAGGTATAGAATTTCCAAAAACGTGTTCAGCTATTTATTAGATCCGCTACGTAATTTCGTTTGTTTTTAAGCTTCTTGAGCTTTTAGACCCCTTATACCTTAGAGAATAAACTTAAAGAATAAAAACCTTTCTAAGCGGTCACCTGCGTTACATTATAAGAAGGAACATCTGTTTAATTTCGAGTTTCCACGGATCTATCGTTTCGGGCCATCGCCTATCAGTCTCAATTGCTATCAGTCATTCAGTTTCTTTTTAAATATATATTTTTATATAGAAGATAATATTTTTTAATGCCATTTTCTATTTTCAAAAGTGATAAATAATGAACTCCGTTGGAATCCGATTGGAAAAAATTACACCTTCGCGACAAGCAAACTGAGCCGAATCAAATTACAGTACGTTTTCAAACCGATTTTTGGGTTCTTTTCGTTTTGTTGTCCAATAAAATATTGCTATTAATATAATTATTACTTTTTTTTTTTTTACGATAAGGTGTCGTAGCAGTAACGGGACGCGGTCGTGATGTTTTTCGTCGTATGGAAACCATGGCGAACGGTCATAAAATTATATTTTACTCGGAAACCCTATTAAATTTTATCACTATTTTAAATGCAATAAAGTATTGCGAGTATTCCACAGTTATAGTAGACGTCGCAAGCGTTGTTTCCCCTTGTTCATTCGATACTAGTTTTTTATAACCGTGTAAAGTACTCGTTTGCTCGTGTCTCCTTATTTTACTAATAACGCGGTGTGTGATGTTTAATGCCGACGCGAAAAAATATCAATTTACGCTCTTGCCGCTTGAAACTGTATTGTAATTTCCATAGTGACGACCGCCGTAGACACGTGATGAAATTTCGTATAGGGATAAACGACCATATTTACGTGGCCGAAGTAAAAAAAAAAAAAAAAAAAAAAAAATTGGTTTCATCGTTTGTTCAGCATATTACCTACACGTTTTCGGTCGTCGAATTGAAAGTCGATTGTTTTTTTTTTCTCGTTTAGCCTGACCAATGCGTCCGAGGAAGGCGCCGACTCGCCGCCGGCCGGACTCACGCCCATCGTGGTCGGTCACAGGACGCCCCAGATGAGCGCCACCATGGAGCACGAGAAACGAATGCGCAGGGAGATAGCCAATTCCAACGAGAGGCGTCGAATGCAGTCAATAAACGCGGGCTTTCAAAACCTGCGGACGCTCATACCGCACCACGAGGGCGAGAAACTCAGCAAGGTACCTAAATTAAATTATATCGTAGTATTATTATTCGTGAACGGGGCCGGCGCTAAGGAGTATTGGCGAAACCGTGGATGATACATATTTCAAATTGTGTAAATTATTGATAATTTTATTCTCGTTTATGCGCGTCTAAAGATAAATTAAATTGTAATAATTTTCAGTTTTTCGTCCCATACGTACTGGCCCACGTCGCCCATTGCTTTCGCCGGCTCTGATCGTGAGCGTTTTGCCATGCGCGCAGCCCGTCCGAGTTTTTGAATTCTTATTTAGAAAAAAAAAAAAAAAAAAAATCGCCAAACGTGAAAAATATTCACGTGTTTTTTTCTATTTTTTTTTTTTTTTTATTGTTTTTTATAGTTCTAACGAGAAATCGGGCCCGCGTCTCGGCGGGAAAAACCCGTCCCGCGAGCCGGCAATGCGAAGAAAATAACGATAACGAATCGAGGAGTGTATCATCTGCGTTATTATTAAAAAAAATTTTTTACGTTAGCGTCCTTGCCCATGCGTGCGTATTATTATTATTATCATTATTATTATTATTATTATTATTATTACTATTACTATAGTGCGCGTGGCCGTGCTGCACTCATAATACGCGCAACGTTCATTCATCGAGCCATCATTGGCGGCGGCGGCTACGACGACGGCGTGAGTATAGTGAGTACAATGTAACGCAGTACACACACACGCGCGCACGCGTACACTCGCACACGCACATGTATTGCCGCCGCCGTGTGGTTCGGCGGGCCGCGAGACTCGTGGGGCCACGGCATGGGTGCCGCCGCCGCCCGTTGTAGTCAGCTGTTTTTATATTTAACCGTCCGCGTACCCCCACCACTCGTTTTCTCGTCGGAACGCCGCCGCCGCGGTTTTGTCGTGCGCGCACAGCTGACGAACGCGGCGGCGTCGGTTATAAAGTACCGCCGGCACCCCTCCTTCGGCCCCCCCGGCGTACGCGTTCCGTTCACTGTTGCCAACGTGAAAACGAAACGCAAAAAAACTAATCACAATGTAATAATAATAATAATAATATCATATTTTTGTGCGGAGAAGGGTACAAATAATACATATATAAAAAAAAAACACCCTTCCAACCGCGTGCGCCGACGGCGTAGGCGTCTGACGGTTGTGGAGCGGCCGTGTGCGGTCTACGGTCCATGTGGCCGCCGGAATAATATTTATTACGCCGTAAATAATATCTCCACCCGCGTTTGGGTCACGGTAAACGTCGTCGTCGTCGTTGTCGTCGACTCGGATACCTGCGCCCGCTAGTTCAACGCACTCGATGTCCTTCACGCCTGTATTTTTTTCTTTGGTTTCTCGTCTCGCGCGCGAGTTTTGTACACAGGACGCCGTGGTCGGTTCTCGGAACGGCCGCCTTTTATCTCTCTCACTCTCTTTCTCTTTCTCCACACTCGGCCGCCGCGGTGCATCAATTATTATTGTTGCCCGTAGGAGTAATGCATAGTAATTGTTATTACGTGTACGGGACACGAGGGTAATTATAACGACTACAACTACGGAACCGTGTGCGTTTCGCTTTAATAATGATAATAATATAATAATTACTGATTTTATCGTTACTCCCCGTACACGCTCTGACGATACGGTACGCGTACGGGTTAATTTCGTCTAAAAATAGACGGGGCCCGCGTGAGAAACGGACGGAATAAACTAAGATAATATTATGTTTTTTCATAATCGTATTATTTTATGCCGTGTGTACTGCTGTCGCAACTGACCTACGGCATTCGGTGACGTGGTTCGGTCTATAGTGTGCGTGTGTTTGTGTGCGTGTGTTTGTGTGTGTGTGTTTGTGTGTGTGTAGTAATGTAGTCTGGTTAGTCTGTGTAATCCGTTTTACGGTTTACATCGTTACAGTTTGGAATAATAAAAATTACAAGAAAACCTGACCGGTACATGGAAATGCGCGCGGCGATACGGTTTCGGTGGCGGTAATCGGTCGAGAACCCCCCGTACACGTTATCGCCCCGCGACGCTATCGATCCCGACGTCGTCGTCGGGATAGCCGCTGACGTCAGCGACGATCGTACGGGTGCGCTTGCGCCTGTTCGGTGACGTCAGCCACCGCCGCAGCACCCGCCGGCGGGACGTTATACTACAGCCGCCGCCGCATACCTGCTCCGCCGCGTGGCGCGTTCCCCAAACGTCGTTTTTACGAAAATTTCGCGGCTCTGACGCCGTCAAAACTCTGGAACTCGTTCCGTGCCCCGCTACCGACGTCGTACGGTTACCGCGGTAACCGGGTCGTACCGGCGCGTCTCCGCTTCTCCTCCACCCGACCACTGATCGCGTCTGACATTCCAAATATTTTAATGAACGGTTAAAATCGTCGCGTCCGTTAAAGGTCGTATTGCGTACTACTACTACTATTACTACTACTACTACTACTACTACTACTACTACTACTACTACTACTACTACTATTATTACTACTATTACTTCTATTGTTATTAGTGTTTATATTTTGTCGCCGCGATTATTACTACACTGGTTTAGTATTACGACGGTATTCTCCATATCGTTATGTACACGTAAACAACACGTATCTCTAGATTTATCAAAACAACGACCAAAATAATTCTCTAAATTTGCATTCCTGGAAAATAACCCGACTGGATATATGTGTTGTTTATGTGTACGTAACGATATTATTATTATTTTGGGGGCATTTTAAAAGTAAACGGTTACAATATAACGTCGCGGTGTAGGCCTGCACGGAATTCTATTATTTATTTATTTATTTTTTTTAAACGCACAATAACGGCTCTCCCCTTCTTCCCTCGTCCTCCCGGGCTCTCGCGAGTAGGACGCATTCTCGGAACTCGCTTCGTACGCTCGTACTGGATTTAAGCGCGTCTCTCTCTCTCTCTCTCTCTCTCTCTCTCTTTCTGTAATTTTTTTTCCTCCGCGTTTACGTTGTTATACGTATATTACGTCGCGTACCCGCGCGGCGCACACAATATTTTTTCATTATTATTATTATTATTATTATTATTATTGTGTACGGGCAGAGAGAAAGTTCGGCGGCGCGCGGGAAACGTCCGACACAGGAAATGACTCAGACTCGCCGCCGCGCGACGCGATGGATTTTCATTCAACGCGTTTCGCCGCGTACGGATAACCGTGGCCCTCCGGGTCAACTGGCGACGACTATAATACACGTAAATACATAACGTATACGCATTCCACCGGCGGCGGCGGCGGCGACGGCTGTTGTATTATTATTACTACTATACGGTGTACCGTATAGTATTCTATTGCGCCGGCGCGCGTGTTTTCGCGAGACTCAGTGGTGGTGTGACGCCGCCGGCACAACGCTCGCCGTCTCCTCCGTTTTATGTATCGTATAATTTATTTATCGGACCGCGAGGAATCCGTAAATGGCCAACGAGAATAATGTCCGCCGCGTGGTTCGTCGGTTTCCGTTGACATTTTCGGCCGTCGCTCCGAAAAAGGCAAGGAAAAAAAAAAGCGAGTCCCGTTCTCCATCGATACTCGGTTTAAACATAATAATGAATTCCCGGGGGATAATCGAACCCTCTGCTGGTTGATTTTCGGAAAATCTAATTTTAAAATCGAAAAATATCGGAGTCTCGTAGTATTTTTAATAAAATCCGATACACCCGCAGTCGATAAGTACTTATAGATTTCCCGATACAATTGTACGTAAAATCTGCGAACATATTGGAATTATTTAACACAGTAAAATCACCACTTGTAATTGAATGTTCTATGTTTATACTTGTTAAATTATTATAAAATTAATAATTTCGATACTGATAAAATAATCAATATTCACGTACAAGAAATTCATAAATAATATTGCAATGTCGTTATAAAACGCTATCTGTTACATAATTGTAATTTTATTGAACCAATAGTTTACAGAACTGTTTTCGTGCCATCTGATATTCACGTGTAGTGAAGGAGGTAGAGTATAACAAGAAAAAAACAACGACCAAGATTTGTAACCTGACCAGTTTACCATTCTCTTCGCTCAGAATTGTTTTTTTTTTATATGGCTATGATTTGTCGTTACGTAATCTGAATACGGCTCTATGATATATTTTTATACGAGGTCTGTTCAAAAAGTACCAGGATTTTATTTTTAATAATTACAAAAACGAAGTTACATATTATTTAAAGATATTGCCTTCAAAATACTCTTCTCCAGAAAATATACAGTGGTTCCAGCGATCTTGCCATTTTTCGAAAGTCCTTTGAAATTGTTCTAAAGTTATAGCTTTGAATTCTGTTGCCGTATTTGCTTTAATTTCCTCTAGGTCTTGAAATCATTGTCCTTTAAGCGCAATTTTATTCTCGGGAAAAGAAAAAAATCGCAAGGGGCTAGATCAGGTGAATAGGGAGGGTGTGGGACCACAAGTATTTCTTTTTCAGCAAAAAATTCACGAATTGACAACCCTCAATGTGCTGGCGCATTGTCGTGACGAAAAAACCAGGTTTCACTTCGCCATTTTTCTGGGCGTTTTTTGCGAATTCTCACTCGCAAACGTATTAATACATCTTTATAGAATACCTAATTGACTGTTTGTCCACGGGGCACAAATCCATAATAAACAATACCTTAAATATCAAAAAAAACAATTAGCATTGTCTTGACATTCGATCTCACTTGCCGAGTTTTTTTTATTCGAGGGGAAAATTTTGTTTTCCACTGAGATGACTGTAACTTTGTTTCCGGATCGTACCCATAAATCCATGTTTTGTTTGTCCCCTGTGATGATGTTTTATCATGAAATTTATATTAGCAGATCGATTTTTAAGGTCTTGACAAATCGTCAAACGATTTTCCTTTTGTTCCGATGTCAACAACCGTGGAACGAATTTAGCAGCTACCCTTCTCATCTGTAANAAATTTTATGACAAGATCCAATTGAAATTCCTGCTTCATTTGCTAACTCGCGAACAGTTAATCTGCAGTCATTTCGCACATTTCACATTTCGTAAATGTTCGCCACAACATCATCGTTTCTAGATGTCGGCGGTCTTCCAGAACGTGGTTCATCTTTAATTGACTGTCGACCATCCTTGAAACAATTAAACCACTCGAAAGTAACGGAGCGACTTAAAGAATCGTCTCCAAAAGCAGTTTTAATCATTGTGTACGTTTCAGTTGCATTTTTACCAAGTTTCAAGCAAAATTTGATGCACACACGTTGTTCGTTAATTTCGGACATGACGAAAACGGAGAACGTAACAAACTGAATAGATTTAACCACGTATATTATTAAACTGAGATATGAAAGCAACTTAGGGTTTTGTTTAAAATATTCTCTAATACGTTGGGAATACAACTAATTATAATTTCAAACGTTTTCATGTATATATTAGCCGCAATAATATTTGTCCTGGTACTTTTTGAACAGGCCTCGTACATTCCCAACTTATTGTCTACAACAGTCATCCAATCACGGCTGTTGAATGTGCGCACAAATTTTATGACGTGCTCTTGGCGAATGCTCACCGTAATATACCAAATATATTATTACGGTCCGCACATTCCGGACGTATGTATTGCAGATTTTCGAAAACCCCGTCAATTCTACCGACACACAACATAATATCGTAATATTTCAAGCTTTGTGAATAGTTAATATGATCAGAGTTTGGGATTTATTGCATTTTCAAATTACATATTTGAATCTATGACATGTCACAAATTTCCATAGTACTGCTGGATTTAATGGTGTGACAAAAATATAAGCGAATACATCGACCGGCAACTCAATGCGGCAAATTTAATTTCGTTATTTGATTTTTGTTCTTAAAAGATTATTAAAAATTCTGGGAATTAAATAGGCACGGTTTATGCCTGGTGGGACAGATAAAATTAATAGAAAAAAAATTCGTGTTAGTGACTTCGGATATTATAATATTGGGATATTAATGAGGGACCAAGTGTTTTGGGGCGAAAGGGAGATGAAATGGAAGTGTTAAAATGGATGCCTGGAATTGATTAATGAGGGTTACTAAAGGCATTATTTTATTTGGTACTCTACTCGTGGGTAAACTGTGATGAGAGCCCTGGGCGTTCAACTATATAGTGGTCCAGAAATTATAAAATTATTATCAGAGGAAATTTTTTATTTGTTGTATATTTTCGTTTAATAAAGTGCAAGGGCAACACGTGCAATTTAAAAAAAAAAAATGTTTTATCATCCTTATCACATTATTTTATTAATAATCAATAATTTATTCATACAATCTGACTGTAATAATAATTGTCGCGATAATAATAATTATTTAATTCATTATAAAATTAAAATACTATAATAAAAAATATATTATAATCGAATGTAATTTTGAAATTCAGAAAACATTTCGATACCCACGTATGGCTATTATTATGTATACAAATGTTATAAACGCCGCCGTTTCAAGTTTGTTCACGGTTAAAATTTATAAGGGGACGTACAAGGTCTG